CTAGTGCTGGGATAATAGGCGGGAACCACCATACATGGCTTCATTTCAAAATGCCTTGATGTTGATTAATTGCATGCCTTTGACTAAAATGTGCTAATTCAAAATAAAACTATTGATTTCTGTGGACTTGTGAGCTTGATCGCCTTCATTTAGAGTTCACTAGTCCTTTAATTAGCCATGGCTGTCTTGGACCCTGAAGACTTTCTGGAGGACTGAAAAACACCCTTTTGGAACTAACATCATCTGAGTTGATAAGCCTTTAACGAGGACAAAAATTAACAATGTCTACAGGAGTTGTGAGTTTTCCTAACATGCCTGAAAATAGTATACTACCCACTATATGCTGGTCACCAACCACACAGGAATTCTGGGAGGACAGCAGCCTTAGTTTAGGTCTTTGATGCTCATCAAGGTTCCCCGTTGGACAGTTCAAAATGGTTTAGAGTGACTTGTATATGTGATGTGAGCTACACATTTTTACTTAAATTCACAAGTTCATGAGTTTGACATGTTAAGAATTTTCTGCTTTGGTTTTCATAATTCGGAACCTGAGTGAATTCATGGAACATTAAAAGCTGTGTTTGCTGTGTGTAGTAGGGACCTGTGTTTGTCTGGTGTGTGTAGTAGGGGCCTGTGTTTGTCTGGTGTGTGTAGTAGGGGCCTGTGTTTGTCTGCTGTGTGTAGTAGGGGCCTGTGTTTGTCTGGTGTGCACCATGTGCCCGTGTTGGGATGGGCCTCAGTTCTGTGGAGTTCCTCACCTGACACATGGTTGCTAACAGCATTCTGTGTTGCAGTTCCACCAAGACTTAGGATGACCTTTTAGAAGTCTCATATCAGTATTATGTCCAAGGAAATAAGGTTTGGTTATTTACATTTGTTCTTGTTTTTCTCCAGATAAACACATCCCTGGTTCTTGTTCCACTATGGGGGTGACTGTCTTACTTGATTTGTTCTTTCGAGTGACTGTTCGCAGTCCAAACATGGATCCTCCTCAGTCATAAGCAGAAAGCACTGTTGTTGCGTTGGGGGTGGCCACCGACTTCTTGGGTGTACGTGCTGGGGCCTGAGTGTTGGGTGCTTGAAGATATCATCCAGGGCCACGGGAAGATGGGGAAGATGATTCTTCTCCCGTGAGACCGATTCTTCTAGGGACTTCTATGCCTTTGCGGAGCCTCTTTCCCTGTGTTACATCATTGCCTTTAACTAGTGTTCATTTGGTGGAGTTTCATGCAGTAACAATGGAAGTTTTCCTTTGGAGACTAGAGGAATGGGGTGAAATTCACTGCCACACCATCAGTCCTCTCAGATCAGGGCCTCGGAGAGGACGCAGCGTGCTCTCCTTTGTTGGCGTTCATTCCAAAAATGTTTTTTTCCTTTTCTTTCAATTTTTTGTTGTCATTGTTTGAGATGGGATCTCGTGTAGCCCAGGCTGGCCTTCTGCCTTAGTCCCTCTAGTGCTGGGATAATAGGCGGGAACCACCATACATGGCTTCATTTCAAAATGCCTTGATGTTGATTAATTGCATGCCTTTGACTAAAATGTGCTAATTCAAAATAAAACTATTGATTTCTGTGGACTTGTGAGCTTGATCGCCTTCATTTAGAGTTCACTAGTCCTTTAATTAGCCATGGCTGTCTTGGACCCTGAAGACTTTCTGGAGGACTGAAAAACACCCTTTTGGAACTAACATCATCCGAGTTGATAAGCCTTTAACGAGGACAAAAATTAACAATGTCTACAGGAGTTGTGAGTTTTCCTAACATGCCTGAAAATAGTATACTACCCACTACGTGCTGGTCACCAACCACACAGGAATTCTGGGAGGACAGCAGCCTTAGTTTAGGTCTTTGATGCTCATCAAGGTTCCCCGTTGGACAGTTCAAAATGGTTTAGAGTGACTTGTATATGTGATGTGAGCTACACATTTTTACTTAAATTCACAAGTTCATGAGTTTGACATGTTAAGAATTTTCTGCTTTGGTTTTCATAATTCGGAACCTGAGTGAATTCATGGAACATTAAAAGCTGTGTTTGTCTGGTGTGTGTAGTAGGGGCCTGTGTTTGTCTGCTGTGTGTAGTAGGGGCCTGTGTTTTTCTGGTGTGCACCATGTGCCCGTGTTGGGATGGGCCTCAGTTCTGTGGAGTTCCTCACCTGACACATGGTTGCTAACAGCATTCTGTGTTGCAGTTCCACCAAGACTTAGGATGACCTTTTAGAAGTCTCATATCAGTATTATGTCCAAGGAAATAAGGTTTGGTTATTTACATTTGTTCTTGTTTTTCTCCAGATAAACACATCCCTGGTTCTTGTTCCACTATGGGGGTGACTGTCTTACTTGATTTGTTCTGTCGAGTGACTGTTCGCAGTCCAAACATGGATCCTCCTCAGTCATAAGCAGAAAGCATTGTTGTTGCGTTGGGGGTGGCCACCGACTTCTTGGGTGTACGTGCTGGGGCCTGAGTGTTGGGTGCTTAGCATCTCCACGTTCATTCTCTGACAGCTTAACTCTTCTATGAGTAACATCTGTAAAAAGCATCAGAAAGGCAGTGTCATCGGTCTTTGGGCTAGTATTTTATGAGCTTCCTAAAATGGAGAGTTCTTTTCCATGCAAACTGAGAGAGGAATGATAATTCTGTGAACAGTAATCTGTTTGCATGTCTGTTACATGAACTGACGGAGCTCAAGCCTGCAGAGACCATGATACCCCACAGTTCTGATGCAATTGAGCTACTTTTGAACGCAAAAGTAGCCAAAGCTCGAGTTAGCTGCCATATCTAGGATAACGCAGTAGTGGGCGTATTTCTGTGTGAATCCCTGTGTGGTTCTGACTACAATCCTGTCCCAGCTTCTCTCTGCCTGCACCCACCAGTTAGGGCTTAGGACTCAGTCCCAGTCAGTGCCTGTCCTTGATGCAAGGCAGATCATGACCCATAGTACAAAGCTCCCTTTACCCTTCAATCCTCTGAATTTCTGTTTTGGGTGCTTTGACTTCTGTGACCCAAGACTCATGTTAGAGGCCAAGGTGATCAACCACCCGTAGTCCCAAAGGTGTAAAAACGACACCCATGGGCAGGTGACCTTGAGATTAGAATTCAATTGACTTGTTTGTTTCATTTTTTGAACGCTGTTGATGTAAAGCCTCAAGGTCCTGAGTTTCTCTATCAGGGTCTTTGACTTTCTTCACTTCTGGCTTCTGTAGGAATTAACTGCTGCAGCCTCACCTGCCTGGGCTCCTCTAGTCCCTGACTGGCCTTCACGCTCGCCTGTCCTCATCTTTCTGCTGACCTTACAGTAGTTAACCAAGGGCCTAATCTATTCATCCACTAGCTCAGCTACTATTCGGGACTTAGAGTCAGGAAGGGACCCTGCTGAAATTTGAGAGTACTAAGACACATGGCTTTCATCCTTGACTCTTGTAGAGTGGGATACATCCCAGAAATGCTGTCATACTATAAGGGGAGTGCGCCTCTTAGGGTCCTCCACAGAAATATAGTGACGAAAACATACGGTAAGAGGTTTATTTGAAGGAATTCACTCAGAGAGTTGTAAAGTCTGCCATGTCAGGACCAGCAGACTGGAAATAAAGGATGGGTTCTATCTTGGGGTCTTGAGGCAGAATTATCTCTATGGAACTTCAATTTTTGCTCTTAAAGCCTTCAACTAATTGGATAAGGCATACCTGTGTATTGAAGGAAATTTCCTTAGAGTTGACATAAAGTTTTTGTGAACAGGTAAGTCAAGCATGACTGTACTGACAAATCAACCATCACGGGGTGAGTTGGGGACACAGGATAGTCACTCAGCATAGTTTAGACTTTCCAGTTGCACATTTAATACCTCCGACACATTTCTCAGCTCTTTGCATATGCTTTGGTGGTGGGGGGAAACTACCTTAGGTACGCTGAAAGGGGAACGAAAACCAGGAAACATTTCATAATGTCCTTAACTAAATATTGAAGCAAGAAATCAAATGTGATCTGGGGGGCACTGGCGATTTTCAGTGTGGCTGTATCGCTGGACAAAGCAACTTCCAAGAACAGCACACTGAAAGGTAGGTGCCTTCAAGGGCCGGGTGCATACAAGGCTTTAAGTCACTGGGCACAGGCCGTCAAAGGGAACCATGGGACGCCTGTTTCTTCCTCTCAGGCTTCTGGCAGGCTGTGCTATCTTGCCACGGGCCCCAGAGCTACAAAGCCAAGCAGCCATGGGCCAAAACCTCCCCAACAAAAGGCAAATCAACCATTTCTGTGTGTAAGTCGCCTGTCTCAGGTGGCCATCCAGAAAGTGTTGCATGCAAGTGGAGACGGGAGATCCCCGGGATGCAGCATACTGGCAGCGTGCAACAATTCTGCATTGAATGTTTTCTGACTCTAGCAAAGCCAGCTTATCCAAAGCCAGAGATGAAGTTCATGTCTTGGTACAACAGGCACTGGAACTGATGCCAGGTATTTAAGAGATGACTTCATTACAGGTGCAGATCTGAAAGGAACTAAGCTCCTTATGGACAGAGTGGAGGGCCACAAGCACATGTAACACTGATATAGTCATTAAGCCCAGAGCTTAGAGAGGTAGAAGATGTAGATTTAAATGCCAGCCCTATTGCTGACCAGCTCCAAAACCCTGGGCAGATGACTTAATAAATTGAAGCCTGAATTTCATGATACGGAACACAGTGTGAGAGGAAGGAATTGTAATAATGAGACAGTGGCCATGCAGTCCTTCACACTTACACAAAAAGGTGCTTAAATGATCCCTAATTCTTTTTAAAAATATTTTAATTGTTATTTTAAAAATGTTAATGTGTATGAGTGTTTAGCCTGCATATGTGTAAGTGTACCCATGTCGTACAGTGCCTGTGGAGGTCAGGAGAGGGTGTTGGATCCCCTGGAACTGGAGTTACGGATAGTTTTTAGCCACCCAGTTCCTCTGCAAGAGCAGCCAGTGCTTTTAACTGCTGAGCCATCTCTCCAGTCCATGCTGCTTAATTCTTATTATCAGTAATTAAAGAACACATTGAACCAAAAGGACAGGGGTGAGAGCATAACCCAAAACATGCCAGGAAGGGACCCAGGACCCCAGTTCCCAAAGGAGTCAGGAATGAACATAACTACAGGAAACCTTCCTCATCCTGTGCAAAAACTTGGCAGCTCTCTGAGGAATGGGGATGGAAAGGAGAACAAATATGACAGACAACCTTTAGTTACAGTTGTGCTCAAAAAATAACCCAGGAAAATTTGTTAAAAGTAAAGAAAACTTCCTGAGCTAAACAACAGACTTGTTTATCACTGACAGCACGAAGTCGATGCAAAACATTGCAGAAATAGAGGCACACTTTCAGGGTTTTGAATTTCGCATAATTAGATTTATTAGTCCCTTTTCGTTGCTGTGACAGAAGGCCTGACAGAAAGCAATTTAGGGAAGGGCCGGTCCATCCTGGGGTGTGGAGGTGTCCGGTCCATCCTGGGGAGTGGAGGTGTCCGGTCCATCCAGGGGTGTGGAGGTGTCCGGTCCATCCTGGGGTGTGGCGGGAGGGTAATGTGTCAGGGCTGGTCACATTGAGTCCACAGTCAGGAGAGAGAGAGGAATGCAGCTACTCACTTTCCTCTTTATTCAATCTGGACATCTTACCCATATTTAGAGTAGGTCTTCCCTCCTCAGTTCCTCCCTCCATGAAATTCCCTCACAGATGTGCCCAGAGATGTGTCTCCATGGTGATTCTAAATCCAGTCAAGTGGACAATGAAGTTTAACCACTGAAAGGAACACATAGAAGAATCCATACTTACAGTACTTATTATATTATGTATTGTATTTTATTATTTTATTATATTATACTATATTAGCCCACATCTGGAAACTGCGAGACAAGTAGGAGAACTTAATGAGTTCGGAAGGTGATGGTTTGAGATGTGTATAAAAATTAACATAGCACCATCATGGCCATTTAGAAAATATAATGGGAAAAACTCTCACAATTCCAACATAGCTAATTTTTTTTCTAGAAATGTTTAATACTGATTATTTTCACCTTTTTAAAATATATTTTTTTATTTTTTAGAAGAAGCATTTCTTTCATTACAGCTTTAACGTACTCAATAACAGTTTCCAGAGCAAAGATGCATCTCTTTCAAAATTCAATTTTATGTCTTATAACATAGCTAATTTTAAAAACAGTGAAAATACAACTGACCAGTTTTACAAGAAAGGGGTTGGAGAGATGGCTCAGTGGTTAAGAACACTGACTGCTCTTAGGGAGGACCCAGGCTTAGTTCCCAACACCCACATGGCAGCTGACAACTGTACATAACTTCAGTTCCAGGGGATCCGACGCCCTGTTCTGGCCTCCATGGGCATTGTGTGTACAGATGCACTTATATACATGCAGGCAAAATGCTCATACACATAAGATTAAATCAGTTATACATATGTGTATATATGTATTTGCAAGAAAGTGCACATAGAAAAAACTAAGAGAAAACTGGAGCGCTCTGCTGTGATGTAAAGAAATAACCAAAGCAGCCTGTGAAGGTTTGTTCTTGTGATTTAAAACTTCAAAGTAATATACAACAAAATTCC